ATTGGCAGTGGTAGCGAGACAGCAGGCAGGAGTTTGACAATCAGCCGTTCCTTTATTTTAAAATAATACTTAAAAACCAACTATTATTTCCTGAGCGCAGGAGCCACGAGTGCAGAAAGCAAGATGACAGATAGGGTTAGAAATTTGCTAGGAAAAGTATGAAATCAAAATGGGGGCGATTGATCAACTTGTGGATACCGGGACCCAAGAGGTTTCAGTATCCGCGGTTTGAAGAAATGCAGTTTTAGCCTCCCTGGGACGCCAGGGAGGCATCCCGGGCAGGCCTGCAGTCTCCCGCAGCCCAGAAAAGGTTATTTTCATGCATAGAGATAGTTTCAGTCAGAACAGGGACACAAAGTATCAGGCTGGAGAGGCTAAAGACACAATTAAATTATTTTTTTATTAAGGGTTAGTTACAATGTTGGGATTGGGGAAAGGAATAAAAGAGAAAGACTCAGAGCCAGAAAAGGTTCCTGTTTGAGGTTGCGGCTGAAACACATTCCATCTGTCTTGACTCAACTGGCCATCCAGGAACTGCGGAACTCCCTGCTGCAGGTCAAATCAACTTGAAAGCAGGGGCCTGGGGCGTCCTTACCATCAAGATGACGCAGACCGAGACTCTGTCACATCTGTGGGTGAAGTGGTAAGGAAGTGTTGTATTCTCGCTTCCTTGCCACCATGGTGAGTTACTAGTCGTTTGCATAGCTTAGATGGCGCTACCTGCAGTTTTCAGGCTTTCGTCCCACATCTGATGAGGGAAATACTTAGGCGATCCCTCGTTGGATGAGTAAGATGGTCTTCCAATATTCTTGTGAGTTCGTAGGTGGCTGTGGAGCCCTATTCTTGACCTGCATCTTCTCCCACAGTGAAGGCATTGGTTTCCAGGTGGAAGGCAGTCCCGGTCGGGGTTGGCTTGATGCGCCTTCCTCTTGGCACGTTTCTCTCTTTCACCCTCCACTCGTGCCTCCTCGAAATCTGCAGCCCTGCTGGTCACAGCTGACCTCCAGCTGGAGCGGTCAAGGGCCAGGGCTTCCCAGTTCTTGGTGTCTATGCCAGAGTTTTTAAGGTTGGCTTTGATCCCATCTTTAAATCTCTTTTCCTGTCCACCAACGTTCCGTTTTCCATTCTTAAGTTCAGAGTAGAGCAACTGCTTTGGGAGACGGTGGTCAGGCATCCGGACAACGTGGCCGGTTCAACGGAGTTGATGTCAGAGGACCATCGCTTCAATGCTGGTGGTCTTTGCTTCTTCCAGCACGCTGACGTTTGTCCGCTTGTCTACCCAAGAGATTTGCAGGATTTTCCGGAGGCAGCGCTGATGGAATCGTTCCAGGAGTTGCATGTGATGTCTGTAGATAGTCCACGTCTCACAGGCATATAGCAGGGTTGGGAGGACAATAGCTTTATAGACAAGCACCTTGGTATCCCTACGGATGTCCTGGTCCTCAAACATTCTCTGCTTCATTCAGGAAAATGCTGCACTCTCAGAGCTCAGGTGGTGTTGTATTTCGGTGTCGATGTTGGCTTTGGTGGAGAGGTGGCTGCCAAGGTAGCGGAAATGATCAACATTTTCTAATGTTACACCATTAAGCTGTATCTCTGGCATTGGAGAGGGGATGGCTGGTGACTGCTGGAACAGCACTTTGGTTTTCTCGATGTTCAGTGACAGGCCAAGCTTCGTGTATGCTTCTGTGAAGGTGTTTAGAGTGGCTTGTAGATCTTCTGAATGCGCACAGACAACATTGTCATCAGCATACTGGAGTTCTATAACAGATGTTGTTGTAACCTTGGTTTTGGCTTTCAGTCTGCTGAGGTTAAACAGCTTGCCATCTGTCCGATAGATGATTTCCACTCCGGTGGGAAGCTTCCCGTCAACAAGGTGAAGTATCATAGCGATGAAGATGGAGAATAGAGTTGGGGCAACTACCCCTAGCAACATGTCAATGCGCCTTGCCACTCTTTCTCCTATCAGATTGGGGAAGTGACAGCACCTATGCAGCTTGCCCCGATGCTCCATGTGATAGGGGAAGGAGGGAGGTTTATTAATGTATTGTGAGACGTCACACATACCTTCCTTTTCGCTGGTGTTTCGCTGGTGACTGCCGGCAAAACGGGGCAATACAGAAGGGAGATGCTCATCATTATGATGAAGTTCTTAGGATAATATTATAGCCTATGAACTTTGAGAATAGTTTTTGTTTTAGTTTTTTTGAGATCAAAGGCCTTTCTAGTTCAGTCTTTCCTTTGCACAGCAGCCAGTCCATGCAGGTTAAATACTGAACTAAAATACAGCACTTATAAACAGGGGTAGTTTTTCTGGCTTACTCTGTATTTTAAAATATTTTAAAAATTAACTTCCATTTGCAAAGAATGTTTTTGTTATCTGACTGTTATATATCATTTTGGTGGACCTAGGGCCGCTCCAGACAGGCCCAATATCTCAGGATCTGATCCCAAGTTTTCTGTTTATTCAGTGCGGACTCATATAATGTAGTTTAAGGCAGAAAACCTGGGATCAGATCCTGGGATACAGGGCCTGTCATGTTGAAAATAGCAACTTTGCTAACTTGTATTGTAAGCTGCTCCGAGTCCCCATTGGGGAGATGGTGGCGGGGTATAAATAAAGATGATGATGATGATGATGATGATGATGATGATTATTATTATTATTATTATTATGCATTTGTAGAGCCCCCGGTGGTGCAGTGGGTTAAACCACTGAGCTGCTAAGTTTGTTGACTGAAAGGTCACAGGTTCAAATCCGGGGACGGACATGAGCTTCCACTATCAGCCCTAGCTTCTGCCAACCTAGCAGTTCGAAAACATGCAAATGTGAATAGATCAATAGCTACCGCTCCGGTGGGAAGGTAATGGTGCTCCATGCAGTCATGCTGGCCACATGACCTTGGAGGTGTCTATGGACAATGCTGGCTCTTCAGCTTAGAAATGGAGATGAGCACCACCACCCCAGAGTCAGACACGACTGGACTTAACGTCAGGATAAAACCTTTACCTTTACCTGTTGTATGCATATATTGACTTGCCAGTTTGACTGAATTCTTTGGTGTGGAGGGGCTACAGACATGTGATTGCACTGAGCATGTTCAGACTCAAGACTCCATTTTGTTATCAGTATGCTTTTGGATTTCAGTGGAAGCAGATGTCATTTGGACTTATGCAGGAACAGTTTACTGTAATGGTTGCTTTGAGAAGCAGTGAGTACAGTTATATAGTTTGAACTTTCATAAGATGTATACTTAAAGACTTTGGACTATGGATTAAGAATGATGCCCTGTGTTCTCAACACTACATCCTACCTATAATTGAACTTTAGTAAGAAATGTGCCTATATGTGAAATTAATACAAGATGCTTGTGAGTAAACAGATATGTTACTTTTTAAAGAAGACTTTGTTTTTTGGTCCCTGAGTGCATATTTTAAACTAAGAGGTTTGAAGGGAGAGTCTATATTTTAAGCAACTTCAAAGAAGCATTTTAAAAACTCTGCTAGCCAAATATATGTTTTTTTGTGTAGTAGCATGTCTTTGTCCTTGGTAGTTCAAAGACATGGTTTATCAGTTTAACAGCTGAGTTACTTGTGTGCCATTACATGAATGCTTGTGAACATCACTTTTTCAAAGGGTTGATTTCTAACAAGGCAATGCCTTTCCTTGACTAGTGGTTTTCAAAAGGATATGACATCATTTTTCTTTTCAAAATAATGCAAATGCCATTTTTCCCCAAAATGTCTGGAAAGGCCCTGAGAGAATGAACAGATAGCTGGATAGATAGATGCACAATGACCATGCTATAAAGAATAATATCTCATCATGACTAATAATATTGGATATCCTTATCCTCTATGAACTTCTCTGTAAGAAAAGAGTAAAGCTACTCAAGTTGATAGCTGTCACTACATTGTATACCAGTAAGTTCCACAGTTCAGTGTCCTTTTAGCTGTCCTGAATCACTCTGCATCTTTGGATGACTCTTACGAAGTACTGTTATGAGAGAAATAAATATTTTCTCTTTCCACTTTCTTACATTCTGCATAATTTATATATCTTTTGTGTCTTCCCTTATGTACTCTTTTTTTCTAAGTTAAAAATCCCCAAATTCTAAAACATTCTCTCAAAAAAAATCCTTCTCCAGCTCTATATAACCATTTTAATTTTCTTTTCTCACTAAGGTACCTTTAAATGGCAGTGACTAGAAATGCCCATATTACATCAGATGTGGTGACAACAGAAACTTGTTTAAAGGCATTATAGTATTGGCAGTTTCCTTTTCTTAGGATCCCTAGCATGGATTGTGTCTTTTTCACAATAGACATTGAGCTGAAATTTATGCTAAGCTTGTATGGATGTTTAAATGGATAAATGATGATGGAAAGAGATTATTCTAAACCAGACCTCTTCAGCAAAACAATGTGGTAAGGGATTATGGGAATTATGGCTCAACATAGCTTGCAGAAAAATATTCTAAACTATGGGTTAAAAGACATAGAATTAAGTGACAGGAAAAAAAGAACCGATTAATTTGGGCAAGATAGCAATAGACCTACAGTAGCTTATACACTTTCACAGGGCCTAAAGACATGGGACCTCTGTAAAAGTCGGGGGGGGGGGGATGTTAAAAATTCTATTTATTACTCGAGGGGACATTTCTCTAAGAATCTCTGGGTTTCACTCTGAGATCAATGCTTGCTGGAAATCAATCATATAAGTACCTTGGCATATTTGCAAATGTCTAGAGAAGTGTTCTGTCTGGGAATCTCTAGGTCCTTTAGGACAATTCCAGGAGAGGTTGACCACAGCCAGAACATGTCAATCAAATCTGCAAAAATTAAATCCACAGATGTAATAGAAAATCAACTAATTAACTTGTTCAGGAAAAGAATGATACATGTGCCTCACAAGATTAGTCTTTATTTATATCAGAGGAAGCAAACAGACTGGAGTAACCAAACAGGAAAAACTCAGTTATCTTCTGTCTCCTAGAGGGTGGAGCATGTAAACTCTGTCCTACCAATTGGATAGAAGAAAGAGGAACATGTTACTGGATTTCAAAGGACAAAAATAATTGGATTATGAGCTACAACGACTGTTCTCGGAAAAGGGCTCATATGCTGGTGATCCAGGATAAAGAAGAAATGGTAAGATGAACAACGTGTTTTGAAAGCTAAGAGTAAGATCTGCAGAAGGTGGTAAACGTAAACTCCAAAATGTGAATTTTGATAGAATTATAGAATTAGAAGAGACCCCAAGGGCCATTCAGTCCAGCTCTCAGCCATGCAAAAATACACAATTAAAGTATACTAGCAGATGGCCATCCAAGTCTCTGTTTTAAAATCTCAAGGGAAGGAGACTCCACCACACTCCAAGGCAGCATATTTAACTGTCAAAGCTTTTGCCACCAGGAAGTTCTTCCTAATGGTTGAGTGGAATCTCTTTTCCTGCTGTTTGAATTGATTGCTTGAATATTCCATCAATATAATTATAATCCAAGTTTATACTCCAACATCAGAGGCAGAAGAAGATATTGAAAGATTTTTTGCTGGAATTGAGGACAAAATTGATTGTACCTAAAAATAGGAAATGCTGGTAATCATACACGGTTGGAATGCAAAAGCAGAAAAAAAGGCAGAATCAAAGATACAGGAACATTTAGACTTATACAACAATGAAGCAGGAGAAAGACTGATTCAAATTTTCCAACAGTTTGTTCATTAAAAACACCTTTTTCAAGCAACTAAAAAGGTTACTTTTTTGGTCACTGAGAAACCAGAACTGATCTTTTATTGCTTTTGGCTTTGCTGTTAAATAGCTGGAGAAGTTGCAGGCACTCTGAGAAGTAGAAACCTGCTGCCAGGCTCTCTGTGGTCATTCTTCTGTTGTTGACTTCCATAGACTGATAGCTAATGAACACCAAACAATTGCCAATTTGAACCTTTGGCTTGTAGGCCCAGCTCTAGCCTTATTGGAAGGAAATAAAAATATTGATATTGATTACATTATAATCACTGATACCATGTTTATAAAAATTACTGAGAAGAGTGAGAATGAGACTATTCTAATGTTTTTGACAGACATTCATATACAGCACAGTTCCAGAGAAATATACTGTTTGGATTGGGCTTAATTCTACACCCACATCGAAATCCTGGACTTGGATAGATGGAACAGCATTAGATCAAACCCTGTAAGTGTTTTTATAGCTTCTCAAAAATATACTGCATTCCATGTTGGTTTGATTTGGATGTAGGCTCAAATGCACACATACATACATCAGCAGGGGCCATGCCACTTGATAAGAAAGATGACCCACAGCTGTACATGTGGGGAATGGGAAATCTTTTAGTTGAGACAATAAGTAGAATCCTATTAATGTCTTACACTTGCATAAGTGCCACATTTGTATGCATGCCTTTTTTGGACAGGGAGCGGGGGGGGGGGGGGGGGGGGGTATTCTTTTGCCCTTTGTGCCTGCACAAGTCTCCAACCCTCAATGAGTAGTTAGCCTAGATAGGATTAGAGTGAAGAATTCCTTTCCCAAATTCCTATCCATGTCTATCCCAGAAGGGGCTTTGTCTTACTCATCTTCCTTACCACTATCTCCTCCCCCTTTGAAGATTTAGCAATGTGATCTCTGTGAGGGATGGGGTAACTTCCTACTTAAAGGTATTTTTATTGCTCTGGGTTTGGCCATGTGGTCTTGTCTCTATTTTGGCTCTTTCTCTTCCTGCCTTTGTCTTCCTTAGAGTAAGGACACATCTTGCCTTTCTCCAGGCAAGATGTAGCTGTATGGATATTTTCTTATTTTTATCCTTTTACCTTTCTTAGAAGATAGCTTAGTAAGCTAGTTAGCTCCAAAGCCCTTTTCTATTTAGAATGGATTTCCTTTTTCTTCAATATATTCATTCTATCTATCTATCTCGAACCTAAAGTTGTGGCTCCTGCAATCCTGATCCATCGTCTTGAATGAAAACTGATCCTATCTCACCACACATGAGTTTCTGCCAATTATGAACTGTGCTTCTGGCACTCTGCTATATTTTTTGTGGAATTACCCCAAGTGAGGGTTATTTTGAGCCTAACAGCTCCGATGCCCATCAGTGCCTCACCCAAAACTCCCCCTTCAACAGATTTTGAGTCCTGGAAGTGTCTGCTGCTGCTCATTACTGGTAGGGAAGCAAAGGAGGAGAAAGCAATTCAGATGAGAATGAAGTGGCTGGTCTTCTGTCAAAGATAAGGAACACTTGTTTCTTCCTGTCTAAAAGCCTGGAACAACAGCATCTTCCTCCTCAGAACTGGCTTTTCTTCCTCCCTTGATATGGAAATGCAAGGGCAGAGCACTGTGCCGCATTTACTTGAGATCTGTGAGCTCTTGCCAATGTCTAATGATATGAAATCTCTTTCAGTGGAATTTTAATGTTTGAAGGCTCCTCAGGCATACATATTATCATCTGAGGACATTTTCACATGGTGGTCCACGCTCTGGTTACATCCCGAATAGATTACTGCAACGCACTCTACATGGGGTTGCCTTTGAAGACTGTTCGGAGACTTCAACTAGTCCAACGGGCAGCAGCCAGATTACTCACCGGAGCACCATACAGGGAGCATACCACACCCCTGCTGCGTCAGCTCCACTGGCTGTCGGTCCACCTCCGAGCACAATTCGTGGTGGTCGTGGTGGGAAGGAGGAGATGCGGGAAAAGGAGACATCAAATTCGGCCTAATTTGGACCATTCATCTATAATCAAAATTCCAAATCGATCTCCTAAGGTAAATTGGTGTAACCAGGTGAGCGGACCCTCCGGACTGAAGGTGGTGCTGTTGAACGCCAGATCTGTCAACGGAAAAACGACCTGGATCCAGGACTTAATCCTGGACGAACGGGCAGATCTGGCGTGCATCACGGAGACCTGGTTGGATGAAGCTGGAGGAGTAAATCTGACCCAGCTTTGTCCTCTGGGTTTCTCCGTGCAGCACCAACCCAGATCTGGAGGGCGGGGAGGCGGGGTTGCAGTGGTCTATAGGGATTCCATCCATCTGATCAGGTGCCCCATCCCGCAGACCGTAAATTTCGAAAGCGTCTACCTGAGGGTGGGTGACCGGGACAGTATAGGGATTCTAGTAGTGTACCGTCCACCTCGCTGCACTACAGTCTCCCTACCTGAGCTAGCGGGGGTGGTCTCGAGCCTGGCGTTGAAGTCTCAACGGCTTCTTGTGCTGGGAGACTTCAACGTCCATGCCGAGACGACCCTCACAGGCGCGGCTCAGGACTTCATGTCTGCCATGGCAACCATGGGGCTGTCCCAACAAATATCTGGCCCCACCCACTGTGCTGGACATACATTGGACTTGGTTTTCTGCCAGGGATGGGAGCAAGGTGGCGGTGTTGAGGAGTTGACCATCTCTCCGTTGCCATGGACCGACCATTTCCTGGTCAGATTTAGGCTCACTGCGCCCCCCAACCTCTGCAAAGGTGGAGGACCCATTAAGTTGGTCCGCCCCAGGAGGCTTATGGATCCGAATGGATTCCTGACGGCTCTTGGGGATTTTCCCGCCACCTCGGTAGGTGACCATGTCGAGGCCTTGGTCGCTCTCTGGAATGGAGAGATGGCCAGGGCAATTGACATGATCGCTCCGGAACGTCCCCTCTCAAGTAGCCGAGCTAAACCAGCCCCTTGGTTTACTGAGGAGCTGGCAGTGATGAAGCGAAGGAAGAGGGAACTAGAGAGCGTGTGGCGTTCGGATCCGAGCGAGTCAAATCGAACACGGTTTGTGTCCTTTCTAAGGGCATATGCCGCGGCAATAAAAGCCGCAAAGAAAACTTTCTTTGCGGCCACTATTGCGTCTGCAAGGAACCGTCCGGCGGAGTTGTTCCGGATTGTCAGAGGTCTTTTAACTCCCCCTCTGCAGGTGGGAGCCCTGACAATTCGGTCACGCGCTGTGAAGCATTTGCTCGGTTCTTCGCAGACAAAGTCGCCTTGATCCGTTCTGGGCTGGACGCCGCGTTAGATGCAGACTCTGTGGATGTAACGAGAGCACCTGCTTGTCCTATTTTGTTGGATTCTTTTCAGTTTGTGAAACCCGAGGATGTGGACAAGATACTTGGAGGAATGAGGCCCACCACGTCCATCCTAGACCCCTGCCCATCCTGGCTTCTGAGAGAGGCCAGAGGGGGATTGGCCGAGTGGGTAACAGTGGTGGTGAATGCCTCCCTTCGGGAAGGCAAGATTCCAGCGAGCCTAAAACAGGCTATCATAAAGCCGCTGTTGAAGAAGCCATCACTGGACCCCACTAAATTGGACAACTTTCGGCCTGTTTCCAATCTTCCCTTTTTGGGCAAAGTCATGGAAAGCGTGGTGGCCTCACATCTCCAGGTATTCTTGAGAGACACGGATTATCTGGATCCGGCACAGTCTGGTTTCAGACCGGGGCATGGTACCGAGACGGTCTTGGTCGCCTTAGTGGATGATCTGCGCCGGGAGCTAGACAGGGGGAGTGTGTCCCTGTTGGTGCTCCTGGACCTCTCAGCGGCCTTCGATACCGTCGACCACGGTATCCTTCTGGGGCGCCTTGCGGAAATGGGTCTTGGGGGCATTGCTTTGCAGTGGCTCCGGTCATTTCTGGAGGGTCGCACCCAGAAGGTGTCATTGGGGGACTCCTGTTCCGCACCACAACCCTTGACTTGTGGGGTGCCACAGGGTTCCATACTGTCCCCCATGCTGTTTAACATCTACATGAAGCCGCTGGGTGAGATCATCCGGAGTTTCGGGGTGCGGTGTCATCTGTACGCAGATGATGTCCAACTCTGTCACTCCTTTCCACCTGCTACTAAGGAGGCTGTCGAGGTCCTGAACCGGTGCCTGGCCGCTGTAACGGTCTGGATGAGGGCGAACAAACTGAAACTAAATCCAGACAAGACAGAGGTACTCCTGGTCAGTCGCAAGGCCGAACGGGATATAGGGTTACAGCCTGTGCTGGATGGGGTCGCACTCCCCTTGAAGGCACAGGTTCGCAGCTTGGGTGTGACCCTGGATTCATCGTTGAGCCTGGATCCCCAGGTTTCAGCGGTGACCAGGGGAGCATTTGCACAGCTCAGGCTCGTGCGCCAGCTGCGCCCGTATCTCGGGAAGTCTGACTTGGCCACGGTGGTACACGCTCTTGTCACATCCCGCCTTGACTACTGCAAGGCTCTCTACGTGGGGCTGCCCTTGAAGACGGCCCGGAAGCTTCAGCTGGTTCAGCGCGCGGCAGCCATGTTACTAACTGGAGCGGGACGCAGGGAGCACACAACGCCCTTGTTGTACCAGCTCCATTGGCTGCCGATTCGCTACCGGGCCCAATTCAAGGTGCTGGTGTTGGCCTACAAAGCCCTAAACGGTTCCGGCCCAAAATACCTGTCTGACCGCATCTCGGCCTACGAGCCCACAAGGACTTTGAGATCGTCTGGGGAGGCCCTTCTCTCGATCCCGCCTGCCTCACAGGCACGCCTGGCGGGGACGAGGGATAGGGCCTTCTCGGTGGTGGCCCCCCGGCTGTGGAACACTCTCCCTGCACACATTAGACAGGCGCCCTCCCTCATGTCCTTTCGAAAAAGCCTTAAGACCTGGCTGTTCGAGAGGGCATTTAATTAAGTGCTAGCAATGACATTACGGTAATGAGAATTGGAATGGTATAAGGATGAGGAGACTAGCCTACGATTCTACTAAGAGACGAAGCGGATTTTTATGTAGTTTGTATTTGTTGTATTGTGTGTATTGTGGATATTGGCTTTTGTAACTGTCTTTTTATGTGTACTGTACACCGCCATGAGTCGCCCGTAAGGGCTGAGAATGGCGGTTAATAAGTGCATCAAATAAATAAATAAATAAATAATTCAAAGTGCTGGTCTTGACCTATAAAACCCTATACGGCTCCAGACCAGCTTACTTTTCTCAATGTATTTCTCTCTACGTTCCACCTCGTAATTTAAGATCTACTGGGGAGGCCCTGCTTTCGGTCCCACCAGCGTCACAAACGCGTCTGGTGGGGACGAGGGACAGGGCCTTCTCAGTGGTGGCCCCTTGCTTGTGGAATTTGCTCCCCAATGAGATTAGATCGGCATCTTCCCTCCTCACTTTTAGGAAAAAACTAAAGTCGTAGTTTTGGAGTCAGGCTTTCAGCTAGTGGACTTAGCAGCACTTAAAACCGGACCATAGGATTATGACAATAGGAAATGGATATGTGATTTTGATTAAGCGACTATGTTAGTATATGAGTATGTGATTTTAATTAATGTTATTGTTAATTTTTATGTACTTGATTTTATGTTGTTGTATTGACATTATGGCATTGAATTGTTGCCCATGTAAGCCGCCCTGAGTCCCCCCTCGGGGGTGAGAAGGGCGGGGTAGAAGCGATGTAAATAAATAAATAAACAGCCTTAACCATCATGACCAATAATAAGGAATGCTAGAAACTGTAATTTCACAAGACATGGAGGACTCTGCAGTTAGCCCTGCAATAAATAGACAGGGCTATTCTGTACATCAGCGTCATAAATACTGGTCACTACATAAAATTTATGAAAAATTGTTCGCATTTTGTCCCTACAGGATCCAGTTTCTTCCCTCTGGAGGTAGAGCTGACTGTGGAGTTATGAAGCAAAATCGGGCTTACTCTGAATTGTGCACTGCCGAATTTAGATGGATCTGTGAAAAAACAGCCATTTTGGTCAACTAGCTTTAATATACTAAGAAAATGCTTTGCTTTTCCTCAGATACCCTGAATGGCAATGCATAGATGATTTCTGAAAAGAACGAATGGCAATCATTACCAGTGTTGGTTTAGATAGCTTGAATACTTGAAAATATGGTCAAGATTCTGCATTGGGAAATGTATCGGTATCATATAACCACATCTCCCAATGCCCCTCCTCCCCAACTTTTTCGCCTTGTAAGCAGTGTCACCCTCCCCATCTCAATATAGCCATATCCGTATTGTAGGAATGAGAGGGGGAATACCCAGTAATTTTCTTGTTGCTGGACACACTGTGACATGCATCTACAATTTACAGAGATCTCCCAGGGTCCTTGGAAGGTCTTTGCAAATGACATTCTTACTATTGTCGAAGGCTTTCATGGCTGGAATCACTAGGTTCTTGTGGGTTTTTTCGGGCTATAGAGCCATGTTCTAGAGGCCTTTCTCCTGACGTTTCGCCTGCATCTATGGCAAGCATCCTCAGAGGTAGTGAGGTCTGTTGGAATTAGGACAATGGGTTTATATATCTGTGGAATGGCTGGGGTGGGGCAAGGAGCTCTTCCCTGCTGCAGTTAGGTGTGAATGTTTCACCTGATCACCTTCATTAGCATTTGAAGGCTTGCCTGAGCCTGGGAAAATCTCTTGCTGGGAGGTGTTAATCTGTGCCTGGTTGTTTCCTCTCTGTTGTTTTGCTGTTGTAATTTTAGAGTTTTTTTAATACTGGTAGCCAGATTTTGTTCAAAGCCTAGAGAAGACAATTATGCTGGGGAAAGTGGAAGGCAAAAGGAAGAGGGGCCGACCAAGGGCAAGATGGATGGATGGCATCCTTGAAGTGACTGGACTGACCTTGAAGGAGCTGGGGGTGGGGACGGCCAGGGAGCTCCGGCGTGGGCTGGTCCATGAGGTCACGAAGAGTCGGAGACGACTGAACGAATGAAAAACAGCCAGATTTTGTTCATTTTCATGGTTTCCTCATTTCTGTTGAAATTGTCCACATGCTTGTGGATTTCAATGGCTTCTCTGTGTAGTCTGACATGGTGGTGGTTGGTGTGGTCCAGCATTTCTGTGTTCTCAATAATATGCTGTGTCCAGGTTGGTTCATCAGGTGCTCTGCTATGGCTGACTTCTCTGGTTGAAGTAGTCTGCAGTGCCTTTCATCTTTTTAAGCATAAGAAAGCTGATGAGGAAACACAACATACAAACTATCTACAGACCCACCAAGAAAATCCAACAAATGCTACGTTCAGCAAAGGACAAGAGGGATCCTCTCACTTCTGCAGGAGTCTACCGTGTACCATGCAGCTGTGGACAAGTCTACATAGGGACCACCAAACGCAGCGCCCAGACACGCATCAAGGAACATGAAAGGCACTGCAGACTACTTCAACCAGAGAACATGGCTCTATAGCCCGAAAAAACCCACAAGAACCTAGACATTCTTGCTGCATGTCTAAAACTAAGAAAATAGCTAGGCATGCCCCATTCATCCTCCACAGAAATGGCAGTGTTGGGAAGGGACTGTGCTGCTTGCAATGTAAAGGGAAGGATTTCAGTCATAGTGTCATGGATTCTGATCTGGTGTTTCTGAGACACCAGAGCACCCCCATGCCATGAGTTCAACCTAAGTGGAAGAATGCAAAACACCTGGAGAGAGACTGAAAAACTGGGCCTAACCTGAAAGGAGGCTGATAATGAGAACCGGCTTAGAGTGGACCTGGAGGAGGCTGTCTGAAAGAATTTTTATGAACGGAAGGGGTGGGGTTTTGGGGAAGTGGGGGGATTGAACTGAATGTTTGCCTGTGTTTTCTTTAGTTGTAACTTTGCTGTAGTGTACTAACCTGGCATTAAAGATATTTCCAAGATTCTCTTGTGAGTGCTTTTGACTGCCATAAAGGTTGTGCCATCTTCACATAAAGTTATGACTCCATCCCTGTTTTTCTTAACTTTGCCTGGTGAGACACTACAAGCAACAGAGATGTTGGAGGAAGGAGGCCATGGTCAAGGTATGGATGAGCCATACACTCTTGCTTTGGGTGGATTTGAAGAACCAAGATAATGTCCAGGGTTGAGGCTAAATAATGTTGAGGAGAACTCAGAATTAATCACACCAGTGAAAGTAGCATGGGAGTCAATTGCCAAAGGTGAATGGACCAAACCCACAAACTTGATCCTGGAGAGGCAAAAACACAGCACCAGGATGAGGGAGTCAAAGAGTCCCTTTGATTCCTGATGAGGAGAAAGAAGAGGGAGGAACTCCTGTGGGGCCCTAATAAAACCCCTCAATGACTCTGATCCTTGGAATCTAAGGTAGTCTATGGAGACAATATTCCAAGTATTTCCCTAACATTGGGGCTGGAAGAACTATTGGGATTTAAATTTCCTTCTAAAAGAGTGTCCATCAAACTGAGGCAACATGGCAGGCCCTTTTACTTAATTGGGACAATAAGAGGGCTGCCCATACAATCAGTGTCTTCGGGCCCGGTAACAGAGGCCATGAATAGTGCACTGAGACAGGTGAGGAGAGTTAAAGGTGAAATTCAAGAGAACCACAGAAATTGTCCTACTTTCTCACCAATGCAGGCAACTACGTGCAAGACTATGGGGATGCTTTCCCCTCAGAAGAGACAAAAGTACATACTGTGGGGGCAAATCTGAAGGGAGCAGCAGTGAACTGGCTGGTTCAGCTTTATGTGGAGGAGGCACCTGAGTTAAACAGCTTGACCAATTTCTTAGAGGCCCTGAAAGTAAGGTTTCAGGATCTGTTTGTGAAGCTGAAAGTAAAAGCACAAACAGCAGAATCAGGGGGCTCACACAGTATCAGAATCTTCCTTAGAGTTCAAAGCAATTGGAGGGAAGATTATGGATTGGTCAGAGATTACCAAAATGGAATATTTCAAGAGCAGCCTGAGACCTGAGCTGGTGGACTGGGCTTTGCATAGGGATGATCATGCCAGCTTGGAAATGTGGATCTATTTGGCTGCCAAGGTGGAGAATATAAAACAGCAAGTATGGTGTGCAAGAGATTTCACTGCAGGGAGAAACATCGTATTGACAGTGTGGGACGGTGGAGACTTTAGAAACCCAAATAGATGCTGGTCAACCAGCCAGGAAAAAAAAGGGAAAATGACTGCTTCAATTATGTCAAAGAGGGACATCCTGCAATGTATTGTTGGCCTGCAACAACCTTAGAAAGGAGAAGAAGAAAGCCCAAAAACCTGTGCCATGACAAGAAAAGCCAGGCTGCAGGTCCTGTCTCCTGGGTGGTCCTCAAGGTCTCTTGCTTCCTTTCCCTGCCCCAGGATCTATCCCATGGAGTCCCCAATTGGCCTCATTCATGAAGCCTTCAAAAAACTTCCTACATGGCTTCATGTATGTATCCTCCCTCCCTGTTGTGCTACAACAGTGCTGTTTGGCACATTAGATTGGAGAACAAATTATTTATTTATTTATTTATTTATTTATTTATTTATGTAATTTGCACCTTCAAAATTGAGGTGAGCATTACATTTGACGGAGAACAAAAATTACAGTATACCAGAGGAGGGCAAAACTTGTCCCCATCTTCAAAAAGGAGGGGAAAATAGGGAGAGGACCCAAACTGTTACCACCCAGTTGGACAGCTGGGGGGGGGGGAGATGAGAGAGAAAGCACACTGGCAGAACAAGGAGTGTAGGAAAGGGACCTCTCACTGCTCCAGCAGGTTGGAAAAGGTTCTGGTGAGGGAAAACAAGTGGATATCTAACACAAGAAATCCAAGAAAATTGTGAGGCCAAATGCTTGGTGCCGTACTGTGGGGGAGGGGGAGCAAATTGTCCATCCCCCAAATCTGCTCTGCTCCTGTTACCATTTTTTTTACATCAACATTGAGTGACGGGAACTCCATTTGGGGTCAGGACCCACAGTTTAAGAAGCAGTGAAATGATGATTAGGATAGCCTATGCATGTATCTGATATCTAAAACAAGCAGTGGTTGTCACATTTCCAGGGCTGTGCCGGAATGTGGGCAGAGGTGAGCCAAACAAACACCCTGTTTGTATCAAACTGTTTAATTAAAACAGCACTTACTTTCTGGCTGCTTTAATAGTCCAAATGTAAAACATAAATATAACACTCAGCCACAGAATATAAAACAAAAACCGGATCAAGAGTCTATGCTGTAGTCAAAAGCCAGTCCAGAGATTCAAGGTTCTGGGGTTCCAAGAGTTCAGGAGAAAATCCACAAACCTGGGGGAAAACCAGCAGCATCTACCACCAAAATAAGACAAATACTTTTCTCCCGAAGACCAGTCCCAAGCCTAACTCCTTTTATCCAGTAACATCCAGCTGCAACCTATCTCTTGCATGCCTCCGCTTTTAATTGCTTTCACCCATAAACTCCTACTTACAAATTACTCAGGCATTTAGAATTAAGACTTATATGAACCCTTCCACCACCAACCACCATCAACTGCAGAACATGATACAGGACAGTGGTGGTTGGTGGCTTCCAAGTCAGTGACTATCTAAGGTGCTGATACCCGAGTCCAAATGTATTCAGTATTTGGAAAAACTTCTTTAAAATAGAAACTAAAACTCAATGTTACCCTCCAGCCACCACTGAAGGAAAATTTTAGATTCAGGGACTGCTATGAAAGTCTGCTATACTGCACCAGATTGTGGTTTATAAAAGGTCACTATTGAAACCTTTGCCTGTGGTTTCACACTTGAGACGCCGGAAAAGATGCTCACATTTCCTTTGCAGCCCTAAGCTCGGGCTGGACAGAAGGTAAGAAAACCACAATCTCTAGTCAATTGCAGCCTTCTGGGGGTCTCTTGAAATCTGGGGCTATGGAAGATGAAGAGGGTTACATGGCATTAAGCCCCCGTGCTTCTGGTGGAACATTTACCCATTGTGTACAAACCAAGAGGAACCAAGGTAGGTTTTCCTCAGATATATCTGAACATTTTGGTTCTGCATGGATATTTTTGAGTAAAGGAAAATCAAACATTTTGTTTGTACACATCTTTGAAATTATGATCAAGCAGAATTCTTCTCCAGGGCCATGTCCCACTCTTTGAACTGAGATTAGCAACTTGTTCAAATAGTGACAGTCACATTTTTTGTATGTTAGAATGTGGAGAAGGTTGATTCAGCTCTATTGGACCTGGATGACAGCACATCAACTTTTCTTTCTCTTGAAAGGTCTTGTATTGTACAATGCTTGTACTCCCAAGCATTGTCTGTTGTCTGTTGTTCATCCAGCTGAATACATTTTTTGTAGAAAGGGATTTGTTCTATGGCAGCTTCATTCAAGTGCTTTTAGACTGTGATTTGTATCCTGTACTTAAATCATGAAATATTTGGGTTAGAAATTCTTAGTGTCATCTTGAGACACACTTATCTTTTCTCCTTTACAGGGTTGTTATTTTGTCACATTAAAAAAATCCCAATTAAATTCAAGGGGTTGCCATAAATCAACAAACAACTTGAAGGCACATAGATGCAAAGTGGCTAAGAAAGGTGGAGTTGTCCAGGGAGAGGCAAGCCTGGTTTAATAGTTGCAATTCAAGAAGAAAAGATTAAGTCTCAATTCCTCCTTCCACATTGTTTTTGATAACTAAACCCCAGATAAATGAAGGATTACCATAGTATTCTAAGGGAAGCAGTTATATACAAGTATACTTTTATACTGTGGATCTTTAAAATAATATATTCTTTGTGGCCCTCCAAAGATTTCCATGAACATGAGCCTTGTAGGGAAAGGTGACAAGTATTCTCATGTACACAGAGTCCCAAAGATTCCTGCAATATACAACAGTGTGGCACACAACTCTGCAGACATCATAATAACAATTTGCAAATAAATATATGAATAGTCATTTTGACTGTAAAACCATTTCCCACATCCAAAGCAAATGCAAGATTTTTAGAAAGCCAACAAAAACGAAAACCACATCCCCCCTTATGATTGGATCAATAACATCACACCATAGAATCCCTTGTAGCATGCGGATCTTTTAGACCCCGTGTTTTTAGATGGAATAAAATAGAAAAGTTTTAAGAATACAATTGCAATCAAGGTCCCCTAAAAAGAGTAATCTAAAGCAGAGCTTTCCAAGCTTTTCATGTTGGCAGCATGTTTTTTTAGACATGCATCCTTTCACAACACAGTAATGCAGTTTTAGTGACAAATCTCAGGTTAAACCAACCCATTATAAGAGTTTCATACTATACAATATATACATTAAATAATGTATACTATATATACATTTCATATAATGTTTTATATGTGTGTGTGTGTTTACTCTATAAACAAGGTTTAGACACCCTGCATTCAAAGCCATAATTAGGAAGAATTCAGGCATCCAAACCATGCCCCAAATCCACGAAGAAGGCCACAGATGTAATTTGTGTGTGTGAGGGTGTGTTAGGAGTGACTTGAGAAACTGTAAGTTGCTTCTGGTGTGAGAGAACTGGCCACCTGCAAGGACGTTGCTCAGGGGACATCTGGATGTTTTGATGTTTACCATCCTTGTGGGAGGCTTCTCTCATGGGGACTTGGAGCTGACAGAGGGAACTCAACCCGCTCTCCCCAAATTTGAACCGCTGACCTGTCAGTCATCAGTCCTGCTGGCACAAGCATTTAACCAATTGCCCCACTGCAATTACATATTATAGATGCAATAAAAAGAAGGTATTCAAAAGTGAACAGAACAAATAGAAGGGATTATCAACAAAGTTACATTGATTTATCATTTGGTATGTTCAGGTAGAGGAAACATGAAAACTTGATGTACCACTTAAAGCCATGAAGTTCTTTTCTGAATATACAGCTTATTTCCCTTCAAACAAACATTAGGAAGCTCCCTTACAACCTTCAGGAGAATCAGTTTCTCTGTGGGAGTTTTAAAAGCTCACACTTTTTTTGTGACAATTTTCTACACACACACTTACAAGTTGAGCAGGGAGAGGGAAAATGTATGCATGCAATCATACTAATTCTGATAATATCTACTCTGAAACCAAAAGTATCTGGTATAGTGTTTATTCCAATTTTGCTACACAAATTCAGATTTCACTGAATTGGTCAGATTCAACCTGCAAACTGAAATGATTTCTTTTAGCCCTCTCTTTGACAGATCAGGTGCAAATAACACAGTGTCTAGCATCTTATAACACACAGCGGACATCTTCAGTCATAAATCAGGTCTGTTATTCACCATTAAGTGTTGGTGTTTGATAACAACTATGCCATTGCAAGGAGCAGGAAACCATTTTAGGTTGTGAGTGTGCCTATTTTCTATTGCAGTAGCTTATTCTCTGCTCTAAAAGATGCTCCTAATTCATGAAGTAGTTGACAGAATATTCACTTTCAGAGATATATGTTAAAAGAGGAGTAAAATACTAATGTTATATTAAAAGAGTTTCCACTTCTTATAATCTTGACGTATATGGGTAAAATATTGATTTATTGATTTATTTGTGACATTTCTATCCTGCCTTTCTCAACCCCGGAGGGGACTCAAGATGGCTTTATTCATAGACAACTATTTGATGCCTTAAAACAATGTACAATTAACAATAGACATTTTAAAATCTATATATATAAATTTCCTCCTAGCGTCGTATGAGGAAACAAAACTCAAAAACCCCCCAACGAAACTCCACCAAACTTCCCATGCCCCAAGGGCAACCAACAAGGTACAAACTAATCCACTCAGAAATCATAAACACACAACAACCACCACAATAAACGGCAAAGCAACTGAGCATGCGCACTGGCGCAAACTCCCTGGCGCGCGCACACACATTGGGAACACATTCATTTAGAAGATTTCTATACCGGCCTTCTCAACCTCGGCGAGGGACTCAGGTCGGGTGCTTCCCGCATGAGGAAGAGGAGCAATGCTGAGGAAGGAGGCGGGGGCGCACTGACAACAGGGGGAAAGGCATGAAAAAGATGGGGGAGAATCCCAATCCACCCACACACCATCCTTAGGCCATTTAGCACCATAACACAGAAAGCTGCCATAAGGAGGCAACCACAGAGGGGAAAGATGGAGACAGTTAGTTGGAGAGTAGAGATGGGTTCAGAGCAGGCATGGGAGGGGGGGGGGGTTGGTGGGGTACACGCGCGCTCGCACACACAGGACAACTCCATGTGGCAACAGCCTGGAGTCAGCCTTGGCTCTCTCCCTCTTCCTTCTCTCCCTTCCTTCTCTCTTCCCCCATTTTCTCCCTTCATGCCTTTCTTGCCTCCTCTCCTCCCTCCCTTTTCCCCTCATCCTTCCCCTCTTTCCTTCTCTCTTTCCTCTTTCCTTTCCTCCTTCCCTTCTTCCTCAATCTTGGGTGCTCTCCCCTTGGGTGCCGCCATCAAGGGCCTCCAGTAAGCCCCGCCCCTAATACAGCAGAGTGTGCTGGGGACGAAGGAAGGAAGGAAGGAAGGGGTGAGCCCAGTTCAGTTCCAGGTGAGCTGGACATCCAAGCAGCTCCCAAGGTCAAATTTCCACCAGAATTCACCTTTGGGCATATTGAGGATTCCTCCCAAGTTTGGTCCCGATCCATCTTTGTTTGGGTTCACAGTGCTCTCCGGATGAACAATTTCTCCTCCTCCTCCTCCTCATTCTCTCATCCACACCAACGCCCCCTTCCCTCCCTCCACCCTTTCCTTCCTTTCTGTACTTCCCTTCCTTCTCCTTCCTTTAATTCTTTCCCTTCCCTTCCTTCCCTCCTTCCTCCCTCCCTTGCTCCTTCCTCCCTTTATCCCTTCCCTTCCTTCTTTTCTTTCCTTCCCTTTTCTCCCCCACCCCCCTCACCAGCTTCATCCTTCTTTATTAAATCTACACTTAGATGCACTCAAAGTCACCCCTTCCACACTGCCATGTACAATCCAGATTATCTACTTAGGACTGGATTCTATGGCAGTGTAGACACACACACACACAGATATGGATGGATACAGGATCACTGGTTGGTGGTATATATCTATATTCTGTCTATCTATCTCTATGTATATACATATATACATATATATAATTACAATACTATATATATTACTATTATATATATTGCTATATAATACATAAATATTATATTATATATATTACTGTTATATCTATTACTATATAATATGTTACTACTATATGTTACTATATTAAATAGACTCCTAGAATACAGTTAGAAGGGACTGTACCAGACAGGAGAGAAGTAGGGAGGGAAGGAAGGAAGGAAAGAAAGAGGGACCGAAGGAAGGAAGGAAGAAGATAAAGTAGAAATGAAAGGAAAGGCAGGAAAGAGGTAAAGAAGGAAGGAAGGGAAAAGGAAATAAAAAGTGAAAGAAGCAAGAAAACAGTGTAGGAAGACATGAGACGAAGAAGTAGAGAAAGGACGAGGGAAGGAAGGAAAGAGAGGAGGAAGGATGAAACCAAAGAATGAAATAAGGAATGAAAGAAAGAGGTAGAGAAGGAAGAAAGGAGAGAAAGGGGAAGGGGAAGAAAAAGAGGGGAAGGAATACGTAGGTACCTCCCTTTCATAATAGCCCAGATATCTACCTCTACTTCGAAAATTCTTACTATAGGCCACAGCAACGCGTGGCAGGGTACAGCTAGTAGAATTATAAAATGCATTGAAACATTTAAAAACATTTAAAACAATAACTTCACCATTAATCACACTATCCATAATTGTAATCTAAGCTGTTTCAATAGTCATTACACATAATTCCATATCCCTCTATTGCACAGGTTCTCCAAAAGCTTGATCACAAAGCCACGTTTTCACTCTTTTACGGAAGGTCAGGAGGGAGGGGTCTGATTTAATATCCTTGGGGAGGGAATGCCACACCCGAGAGGCCACCACTGAGAAGGCCCTGTCTCTTATCCCTGCCAGTCGCACTTGCGAAGGAGGCAGGACTGAGAGCAGGGCTTCCTCCAGACAATCTTAAACTCCGAGGTTAATCCCAATGTAGTTGTTTTTTAACCATTTTTTTTTTTCAATTCTTTTAGATATGACCAAGAGGCTTGTTCAGTACAAAATCTCACTGGGGATCTTAGGGGCGATCTGTGTCATTCTAGGTTCAGCTGTGATTGGGCTGACTATAGTAGGTAAGTTCCCAAATGTTTGTTTTGAAATACATATTGGTACCACATGATATTTATTGCCTTAACTTGATTAAGATACACTGAAACCCTCTACTCTGCTGAGTTATATTCTAAAAATGGCATACAATTTACAGTGCAGCATTGCTTTATATCTAGAGAGCCCTTGTAATCTGAGGCAGCTTTACTTAGCTTACAAATAAAGCCATAAGTATGTATAGTACTATGAATCAAGCACTGAAAAAAGTGAAAATACTAACCAGATTTCCATAAGTACTCCATCAATGATGATCCTCAATATGATTTATGATAAATCTAGGGTTACGAACTGGCTGACTTAGTTCCTGCCTGGCTGCATAGCCAGCATTGAAAGCTAATATCTAATTACGTTATTACACACTACTTAGTATACATGTAAACACAGCTATAACTGACAGGGGCACATGCATTGAGTTACTTTCATTCTACTCTTCCCTAAATCCTTGTGCAGCCTTAACTGCTGATAGCATTGGTGCCATGTGATTCATTGTTTTGATCAGAGGCCCCATGAGATGGTCATTCCCAATGCACAGCACATGATCCAAGAGTAAACAACCTGAGATACTCCAAGTATTTTTGTGTTTCATTTCTCACTGACCACAAATAGACGATCCAGATGTCAGGATGGGATCTTTAGGAACTGTATCCTACTCATCTCGAGGGCAGCACATTCCCTACCACAGAATGCAGACCATCAAAATCATGGGTTAGAACAGACAGCAGCGTCTATCCCAGTCTTAAGTATCAGAGAGGTGGTGAATCCTTGCTAAACTGTAGTCTGAACTTCAATGGATCTATCCAAGCTGCCATATCCGTTTTGAAGACAAGGTTTAGATATAACTACTTTAAGGTTCAACTAAAACCCAGAATAGTTTCAATACACCCACTGTCCAGGGAGAGGTGGATGAGCTCCCTCTATCAGCTCCAGCTCCTCATACGGGGACATGAGAGAAGCCTCCCACAAGGATGATAACAAGACATCAAATCATCTGGGCATCCCCTGGGCAACGTCTTTGCAGACGGCCAATTCTCTCACACCAGAAGCGACTTGCAGTTTCTCAAGTCGCTCCTGACACGACAAAAAAAAACCCCACTGCTATGAAAGCCATCATTTGCCATTGTCTGGTGGGCTGCATTTAACCGTCCCTTGGAGATATGAGGGTTTTGAAATAATGGCTCAAACAAACTCCCATATTTTTTCTATTTTAAATATTTGTGCAAGGTTTTTGGCTTTGTTCATAATCCTATTGTAAATGCAAAGATTTGCTGAGGAACAATGGTCAGCGAGGATGTCTTCGACCTTTCCGCATCATGATTTCAAAAGTGATATCACAGGAGGACACCTCGTTACAAAAGGTCCATAATTTTAATCATATTGAACCTTCCTGTCTAACATCTTTTCTGTCCCCATTCCCTCAAATCTTCATGATTTCTCAAGACAGAACAGAGTTATGGTGGCATGATTCTGCTTTAATTGCCACCACTATCTCCTATTGGAAACCTGGAATTTGCAGTTTACGTGGGACACACTTCCAGAGCTTTGTTGTCTCCCCAAACTGCAAACCCCAGAATCTCTGTTCCTCATTGTGATTAAGTTGCTGTTGCCAAATAGTGGTCAGATTATTACATAGAGGATCAATCCCCATTCAGCCATAGCACTCACTGAGAGGATCTCAGTTTGCAAAGGAGAACAACTGTGCCTCCTGTTATAATGTTGTCATTTTATTCTGTTTTATGCTGTTGTTTATATATTTTAATGTGTAATATTTTAACTATGTTTTGAAACTAAGTTTACTGAGTGAGTGTGTTATTGAGGGAAGGGATGCTGCTGCCTCACTTGAGTCCCCCCCCCATGTGGAGAAAAGCTGGAGTTGTTGTTGTTGTTGTTGTTGTTATTTCCCTCCCCAGCCCCACCTACCTCATACTTACCTACTGCCTACCTACCTTCTTCCTTGCAGTTTTTCTGGCTTGTACTCCTGCACCAGCAGCCCCCCCCCCCCATTTTTTTTAAATGACCAAAATAAATGTTCTAAAAATTGGTGGATGTCCTACATATTCTGGAACTTGGCAGGCTTGCAGTCATAAATGTGGCCTCCAATGTAGCAAGTGTGGTCCCGATATCCTAAAAAAGATGGAGAGAGGAGCCTCTAAAGACTCCCCATTGGTGCAAATGGACTGAATCTTCCCAGAACAAAAACAGAACTCTATATTCCAAATTATAGATTTGTTAAAAATAATTTATTTTGGCTGTTGAATTATTGTTTTGCTTTAAAGAAAATTTTCCCCTGTATTTGACCTAAGGTTTGCCTTTCTGCAGCTTAAATCCAGTATGCTCCCTTCCATCCACACTCTAGTGAGGTGCGTCTTTCTAATTTGTTGTGGCGATGTCAGGACATTCTCCTTCTTCCTCCTCTGCATTCTCTTCTTGTGAGAAGTGGAGTGGCTGTTTGGTCTTTTTTCCTTCATGCAGGAGGGGGGCAGGGCTAAGGGAATTGTTTTTGCACATGCACTGTATCGTCTTGTAGCATTTTTGGTTTTTTTATTCCTTGTTGCTGTGTTTTTGTGTGGTTTTGTAACTGAAGGACAATTGTTAGTTTGATAGGTGTACTGTGTCCAGATTTTGTGGCAATTCGTCCAGTGCTTTGGGAGATATGAGGTCCCCACAAATGGACACTGTATTTTTATTTATATAGATGTGGGATATGAATACAACAAATTACTAAATAAACCACGCACTACTGTTCAAGTTTTTCAGAGTGGCTTTCATAAAGCTGAGGTTGAATTTATTAACACAGCTAAAAATAAGTCAGGAAGACTGAACAACTTTAGAAGAAGAGAAACTGACTCCTGTTCTAGAAATACTGCCATGCACTTGTGTGAACCGTTTACAGGTAAGTAGACATCAGTTCTTCCTGAGGTATTGTGCCTTTTTTGTTGGCCTAATAAATAGAACACCACAGTGTGATTTCATTTTGTGGTCATTGCTACCCTTCCATTCCTGTAAATTAAGTAAAATTGGCATTTCTGGTGGCTTTGAAAGAGAACTAGACAAATTACTGGAGAACTGATCTACCTGTGGCCAAGTCATTTTCCTGCTGTAATGGGTTGACAAACCACAACTGGTTCAGAGGTTGTGGCCAGGCCAGATTGTTTATTTTTTGCAGTTGAGTAAGACAAGACTAGGGCAATGAAAGGCAACCACCTTCTTTATGGATGTAAAAGGAGGCATCAATTGAAGGTCTGGAATGTCAAATTGTAATTGGGAAGTTGTGCTTTCCTGAGTTGTTTTGATAAGAATTTGACCAAGTGCAGGATGAAAGGGAGAGAGGGTGTGAGAACAAAGATGTTTGTGAAGTGAACTGTACCTCCAAAAAACTATAAGAACCCCATGCGAGATCTCATTCAGTGTGCCGCTTTCCTTTCAGGACGGTCACCCGCAGCTTATTTGCAAATAAATCTGACCTCACAACCTCTGAGGATGCCTGCCATAGATGCAGGTGAAACATCAGGAGAGAATGCTTCTGGAACATGGCCATGCAGCCCGAAAAATTTACAAAACCCAAATAAAACTGGTTTTTTTCTGTCTTCTTTGCCTCCTAGTTCCTTATTGAAAAACCGGGACTAGGGGGTTCCAGAAGGTTTGCCTTCTTAAAAAGGGGCATCGCATCTGAGCCTCTTCAATATAAATGCAGTAATAAGTAAATAAATAAATGAAAAGGAGTCATGTAGGCAGCTGGACTGCAACATTTTGTGCATCATCTCGAGTCCCTGGTGGGATGAGAAAATTAAACAAATATTTAAATGAATAAATAGCACAACCATTCTCTCTCATTGGAATTCACAGATCTATTGATACTTGAAATGATATCTAAGCTTTCATGACTAGTAATCATTTATAAGTTTAATCTCTATTTAAGGAAAGAAAGAAGCTGCCCAAGTCGGTGCCTCTCACTACATTGTATGGCAGTGAATTCCATACTTTAACTATGCAGTAACTAGGTCAGGCATAGGCAAACTTTCTAACTTGGGGGGTGCATGCTATTATTCTCTGCTAGGAGGACTGGCTGCCCTGTGATGGAAAGAAGGAAGGGAAAGAGGAAGGAAGGACGAAAGGGAGGGAGGGACAGGCATGTAGCCGGGGGCGGGGGGGGGGCTTGAGGGGCTTCAGCCCCCCCAAAATTCTTAGGGTGATCCATGAGAAGGCCTTACTGGTACATTATTTAAACTTATGTTTATTCATATCATGATCTGATCACCATGCTCAATATATCCCATATGCATGGGGCTATTGGGATAACGATACAAAAGGTTTGCTAGGGTAGATCCTCCCCCCCCCCCCCGAATCAAACTTAGCACCCCCGAATCAAAATCCTGGCTATGGGCCTGGGGAGGGAGGAAGCATGAAAGAAAAAAGAGGGAGAGAGGGAAGGAGGGAGGAAAGAGGGAAGGCAGGAAAGACAAAAGGGAAGGAAGGATGAAACAGTGGAAGGGAAGGGTGGAAGGAAGGGAAGGAGGATGGAAAAAGAGAAGGAAGGAAGGGATAAAAAGAAGTATGGAAAGAAGGAAGGGAAGAATAAAGAAAAGAGAGAAGAAAAGAAAGGCAAAAGGGAAGGAAGGAAGGAAGGAAGGAAGGAAGAAGATGGAGAGAGGGAGGAAAGAGGGAAGGAAGGATGAAAGGATCGAAGGAGAAAGAGGGAAGGGAGGGAGATAAGGAGGAAGGAAAGACAAAAGGGAGGGAAGGACGAAAGGATAGAAGAGAAGGATGGATGGATGGATGGATGGATGGATAGAATGGAAGGAAGGGAAGGAAGGAAGGAGGAAGGAAAGAGAGAAGGAAGGAAGTATATGATGGTGGGAGAGAGGAGGTCCTGAGAAAAGAGGCCAAGGAACCACATCTGGCCCCTGGACCTGGGTTGCCCTAGGTAGTACAATTATGGGAAAGAAAATAGATTCTATCCTGCATGTGTGTACATACATATCTTTTGTGTTTCCCCTTATGAGCTCTTTTTTCAAAGGTTAAAAATCCCCACATGCTGAAACCTTCTCTCACAAGGCATTTCATCAGCCCCATATGCATTTTGTTTGTCCTTTCCTACCTCCCTAAGGTTGGTTTGAGCTGTAGTGACTAGAAATATGCATTCTATATGGTGACAATAGAAATTTGCATAAAGGCATTATGGTATTGGCAGGTTTTTTTGAAACTCCTTTTCTTATGCCTTTTTACATCATCTGCATGTTGAGTTGACATTTAGATTGTTATAGATAGGTGATTATGAAAGGTGAGATGGTTCTTCCTTGGGCTTCTTCCACAAAGCCAGTATGTTCAGGAATGATCAGACTTAAGGCTAAACCTATTTGGAAGAAAAAGCTTGGAGGAAACTGTGCAAAAATGTGGGTCATAAGCTCCACAGCCACCTATGGACCCAACACCAAGACACTACACTTGGAGGACCATCATCCTCAGGCTATAAGAGATGGCCTAAGTAAGTAAGTAAGCTCAGAGGTGTTAGGTGGAATAAAAAAATCAATTTCTACAGGACAGAAAAGGAGAGATAGAAGTGCTTCACACTGAACAAGTTTAGGGGTTTTTAAATTTATACCAGAGGAAGCAAACAGACCAGAGGAACCAAATAGGAGAAAATCATGTATCTCTGCCTTCTTTTAGAAAGTGCAACATGTAAACTCTGCCCCGCCGACTGGATAGAAGAAAGAGGAGTGTGCTACTGGATTTCAAAGGACAAAAAGAATTGGATCATGGGCTATCATGACTGTTCTGGGAAGAGAGCTCAAATGCTGGTGTTCCAAAATGCAGAGGAAATGGTAAGACGAACAACGTGTTTTGAAAGCCAAGATGGAGCCCAGGAGAAAGTGGTAAACACAAACTCTATGCAAATTTTAGTTCTGTGGGTACAACTTGAATCAAGTTATCTATAGTTCCACCACATTCACAACTTTAGAGGTCCTTAGAGGACATTAGATATGTTTTATTGAAAAATAAGGTAATTTAGTGTTTCTCAACCTGGAGGTTGGGACCATTCGGGGGAGTCGCGAGGGAGCATCAGGGGATCACCAAAGACCATCAGAAAACACAGTATTTTCTGTTGGTCATGGGAGTTCTGTGTGGGAAATTTGGCCCTATTCTATCATTGGCAGGGTTCAGAATGCTCTTTGGTTGTGGGTGAACTATAAATCCTAGAAACTACAACTCCCAAATGTCAAGGTCTATTTCCCCCAAAATCCACCAGTGTTCACATTTGAGCATATTGAGTATTCATGCCAAGTTTGATACAGATCCATCATTATTTGAGTCCACAGTGTCCTCTGGATGTAGATGAACTACAACTCCAAAACTTAAGGTCAACGCCCATCAAACCTTCCAGTATTTTTTGTTGGACATGGGAGTTCTGTGTGCCAAGTTTCGTTCAATTCCATTGTTGGTGGGGTTCAGAATGCCCTTTGATAGTAGATGAACTATAAATCCCAGCAAATACAACTCCCAAATGACAAACTCAACCCCACCAGTATTCAAATTTGGGTGTATCAGGTATTTGTGCCAAATTTGGTCCAGTGAATGAAAATACATCCTGCATATCAGATATTTGCATCATGATTCATAACAGTAGCAAAATGACAGTTATGAAGTAGCAACAAAAATAATTTTATGGTTGGAGGGGTCACCACAATATAAGGGGTCGCGGCATTAGGAAGGTTGAGAACCACTTATTTTTTTGTCGTGTCAGGGCAACCAGTCCATTTTATTACATTTCTAACAGAACAAAGCAAACAAACAGACCACTGAGGCAGCTTTACTATTAACAAGGAGGCTGAGTTCAAATGTTAGATAACTCTGGGACCACCATCAGACATTTTGCTGACTGATAAAGAGCAGAAAATGATATTCTTCAGTCCTTTTCAAGGTGCAGAACACCCTACATGAGCAAAATTATTCAGGAACATGAGGCACTCCACACAAACATCTTCCCATCACAGCAGTACATTGGTTGCCTTTTCATGATTCCTAGGATCTAGTACCTGAGGCACTTGCTTCACTCTAATATCATGGAGAGCCTTCTGCAGAATACCACAGAATATGTTCTTTTAAAGAACTTGTTAGAAATTGGATACTATGGTTCAGCAACTTAGAAGGAGTATTAAATAGCTATTGAGCTTGCTGTTGAACTATATATTAGGTCCTGCTCATCAGAAAATGTATGATCGGTGGTGGCTGCGAAGTACTAATCAGAAAAAAACATATGCAGCCTGCTCACTATTAATGTGGGCTTTTGAACTCCGATTTATCTTGACCTCCCTGCCACCAGTAACTGATCAAAGCAGAGTCATGCACCACATATTATAGAGAAGGATTCCACTAATATCATTTGAAATCAAAAACCCCAGGTGATTGAATTTCAAAACATGGGAAAGTCATGGTCCCCGTGTTGACCTCCATTGACTGATAACTGATGGAGGCAAGACAAGTTTGAATGTGATTTTTCTGCTTCTTGGCAGGGGGTTGGACTGGATGGCCCACGAGGTCTCTTCCAGCTCAGTGATTTTATGATGCTAAGTGATTTCCAATGGAAATATTCTATGTGGGGCTGCCTTTGAAGACAGCCCAGAAACTGCAACTGGTGCAAAGATCGGCAGCCAGGTTGCTAACTGGAGCTAATTATAGGGAGTGGACAGCGCCCCTATTAAAACAGCTCCACTGGTTGCCGATAAGTTTCAGGCCCCAATTCAAAATGTAGGTCATCACCTACAAAGCCTTGGGCCCTGCCTATCTTTGAGTTCGTGTTCCCTCCCCCCCTTATGTTCCTGCGTGAGCATTAGGATTTGCTAGGGAGACCCTCCTCATGATCTCGCCACCGTCACAAGCGCAGTTGGTGGGGACGAGGGAGAGGGCCTTCTCAGTGGTGGCCCCCCAGCTTTGGAACACCCTCCCTGGGAAGATAAGGCAGGCCCCACAGTGTCCTCCTTCCAGAAGGAATTAAAGACTTGGATGTTTGGACAAACCTTTGAGAATGTCTAGTCACAATGGTCCACAATTAAAGCCACAGCACAGCACTTTTGTCCCGTGCCCTAGTTCATTAGCTATAATTTGCATTATCCCATTCCCTGCTCCTGTTTGCAGTTGGCTATGATTTATGACAGTTCTCATCATAGGTTATTGGGCGCTATTTTGAGCTTAAACTTTGTTTTATATGTTATTGGTTGTATTGTGTATTTATTATGCATTGCTTTAGCCACATTCTGCCATATGTAAGCCGCCTTGACTCCCTTTGGGAAATGGCAGCAGGCTACAAAAATGAAGTTGTTGTTGTTTCTGTTGTGATTATTAATATTTGGATTGTAGGTCAACCTTGGTCTTATTGGTAAGAATTTAAAATACTGATGTTGCTTACATTTAAATAACCAAGAAGTGTGAGAATGACAGTATTCTAATATTTTTGGCAGACATTCATCTATGGCATTGTTCCAGAGAAATATCCAGTTTGGATTGGGCTTAATTTTACAACTTCAGCGAAGTCTTGGACCTGGATAGATGGAACAACATTAAATAAAACCCTGTAAGTGTTTCTCTAGCTTCCCATAAACACCCTGCATGCCATTTGGGTTGATTTGAATTAAAAGTACTCTATTCCCATATTGGTGTCCCAGTCTCAAATGCACAGGGATATCCGTGTGGGAGCTCTTGCCCCTTGATTACAGAGACCCACAGAATCACATATGAACTATCTCAGTGAGAAACCCTAATGGCTAGTCCACTGAGATGAATCCTGTTAATGTTTTACACTTGCTCAAGTGTTAGTTATGTGTGTATATCTTCTTATGCCTTTTGTGCCTCATCCAAAACCTTCACAGAAATCCTCCAGATATCATGGAATTGCAACTTCCAGCAGCCATAACCCGTGTAACCAATGGGAGCTTTAATTCCACAACACCTGCCAGGCACCACAGTTAGCAGCCTTGCAGTGAATGGGCATGACTATTCTGTTGGAAGGCAGCATGTTGGTCTCGACATGAAGCTTATAATAAAAAATATTGTCTATTAGCCTTCACAGGATCCAACCATCTCCTTCAGAAAATGGAGCCAACTGTGGAGTGATTAAGGATAACCAAGCCCGCTCTGAAATGTGCACTGCTGAATTTCGGTGGATTTGTGAAAAAGAAGCCATTTTGTTCTGACGTGTGATATCAATGGTCCACAGTTTTTAATATGCTGATAAGGTGCCTTGCTTTTCCTCAATATACTTAATGACAATGATGAGATTATATATATATATATATACTAGTTTAGGCACCTGGTGATCCCTGGATTAGGTAACTTATAATGCCATTTATTAGAAAAAGCCATTGTTTGTTTTTGGATTTTCTGAATGTTCCCATTAGAAAATGCATAAGGATGTGGATAAACTACAACTCCCATCATTATCTGTCTCACACACACCCAAACCGCACCACTAGTTAAAGTTGATCATGATGGGTAGGTGTGCCAAGTTGGGTCCAGATCCATAACTGTTGTTGTTATTATTATTATTATTATTATTATTATTATTATTATTATTATATTATTTGATACATAACAAGATTCATACAAAGCAAACAAGATCACTATGCTGGCTTTTGCATTTGATCACACATCGGACACTTCCCAAGTGTCTAGGACTGTTTGATATAGTTGTGAATAATGCGTGCAGATCCGAGTAGGGTGACCTTTTGCAGTCACCCTACATTATTATTATTATTATTATTATTATTATTATTATTATTATTTACAACCTCTCCTGGCAGCTCAAGGCAGGGTACAACAAATGCAAAAATATATAAAAATAAAATATATGCAATAAATCGTACAGGTAAAAATACTAAAATATCAAAAAAAACATGCACCAAACATAGATACAGACTTGACATATAGAAGCAATAGCATGTAAATACAAACTCATGATTGAAAGTCAGTTGGATAGATCTGCTAGAAGAGATGAGTCAACTGAAAGCATCATTTGGTTTCAGAGTGCTCTTTAATTGTGGATGAGCTACAACTTCCAACATCCTGGGTCAATTTCCTCAACATCCCTCCACTATTTCAAGTTGATCATATTGTGTATAATATGTGTCAAGTCTGTTCCAGATTTTGGTGCATTGGTGCACTGGAACTTCTTGAAAGCAGAGAGTCATCAATGTCAAGAGATTTCGCTTTATCTTCTCCATCTACCCACTACATTGTGCTGATGTTTCATGATTTAAATTGTGGGTGTTATTAAAACAATTTTCCCCTTCAGGCAACTCTCCTCTCCATTCCATGGAAAGATATATTTCGATGACTTTCAAGCTGTCTCAGTGAACATTCATATTGTTTTATAAGATGTTGTCTTTTAAAAAAAGAATCCTTTCAAATGGATTGCCAAAAACGCGGGCAATTGAAAATCCAAGAACTGCATTGGTGTTCGATTATGTGTTGTGCATGATTATAGTTTAATTGAAAATTCAAGAGGAAGAAATCATATTTATTTCTCTCAATTCGTGGTTGCTGTTGTTTCTTAATAGTATCTCAATCTCTGACGTCTCCACAAAGGAACTACATGCTGTTGCTGCAAAAGTCTTGATCAGAACAGCATTTAAAGTTCTTAATAAAAAATACTCGTTTAATTGACTGGCCACAAGAGCTGTTGTCTTCACTGCAATCCCTTGTCTTCTTTATTGGCTTACCTGTTAGGATGGTGAAGAAAAACAGAAAGTTTCTGTGATAATATTTTCTGGCAGTCCAATTTGAAATTGTATTTCTAAATTGTAAGATGTTTAAAACGTATCTTGCCTTCACAATCTATATGAATATTGAGATGTGCCTGCTAATTTATAAACAGTTATAGGATACTGAAGGCTTAATTTACCTCTGAAATACTCCTCCGTGACAATACAGACAGCCTTATCACTGATGATTTCACATGTGCTTCGAAGAGGAGTACATGTCTTTGTTTGACTTGTAGTACATCTTGCACATTTTATTGCATCACCTCAAAAAACAACAACAAATGTTTCATAACCCAATTGTTGTCTTTACATCATCACTTATCATCATTCTTACCTACCAAGATATCCCATGCCCATATATAAAACAAATATACAAAATTATGTGCTCCCTGTCTCCTAATTTCAAGATGATGATGACAATAACAGCAACAACATTTTCGTAGAGAATCATCCTCACATGGAAATATTGACAAAGATTTTGCCAAGAGTCCTCCTCCGTTGGTCTTCCCAACCGCAAAGTCTGACTTTAGGAAAAAGGGGGAAATAAGACTTACTGTATATATTCATGTAGAAATCTAGAAATTTTAGTAAAAACATCTCCTAAAATCTGGATTGACTTCTCCACAGGGCAAGGTAAGCACTGTACCCTAACCTTTATACCAAAAAATAGAAGGAAACATCCCCTTAACAGAATACAAAAAGCAAGAATCTAAAAGAAGTCTCCATAAAATGACTCTCAATTTAGCAACAAGTCATATCAACATCCATAATTTGGGCCACAATACCTGCCCTGCATTAATGAGGTTGACTTATACATATATATGTATATATAGAATCATAGAATCATAGAATCAAAGAGTATATATATGTATATACGGTATTCCCTTTCAGAATAGATTTCCTGACCTCTTGCAAGTTGGGCTTACCTTTTGGGATGAGGCAAAAGAGAACACAGACTGTGAATAGCCAAGCCTGAGACATCCGTGACCCCCAGGTTCCCAGGAAAAAACTCTTCCTCATTGGATAGCTTTTGGGTACAGAGGGATAGAAAATGACTTCACTCCGTGTACAGTCTGGCTTTTTATCCTTCTCGGGATGTTATCAAATTCATCACTTGGCATGTTTATATGACACTCCCCTTTTTTAAAATGCACATTCATCAAAGTTAATGTCTCCGTTGAATAATTGGTGGCCAAACACCATGTACCATTAATAATGCTATTTGCCCTTGAGAAGATGGTGTTCCTGCAGATGGAGCTAATGTTTAGATGGAAATTGCTATGTGGGAAGCAAAGAGACTTGTCTCCTTCCTCCCTATTATGGTTGGCCGCAATCCATCTTCCATAGCAATGGGAAGAAAAGTTCAATTTCCACTTACAACTAACTGGCAGCTGCCTTGACCCCTCAGTCCAGATTAGTCCCGTAATGCTAACCCCTCCTGTTAATTTCTCAGAGGAGAACATTCAAAGAGGTGAGTCATTAGATTAACCTCATATGTAATTTCTGTTAAATGTATTTCCTTTGCTTTTATTCCACCTTCCTCCTTATATACCATACTCCAGTTTAACATGCATCTTTTTTGGCTGAAATGCAATGCTAAATTTATGGGGCGTACTAGATTCGATAGTGCATAATGTTTAATGATTTGTGATACTACTGCTTTTAAATGCCTAATGATTTTGTATTGTGTATACCTAAACTGTTGTAAACCGCTCTGAGTCACCTAAGGGCTGAGAAGAGCGGTATACAAATAAAGTAAATAAATAAATAATAATAATAAATTTATTTATTATTTATTTATTTACTTTACTTGTATACCGCAGTTTCTCAGCCAAACAGGCGACTCAACGCGGTTTACAACAAGGGTAAAAAGTCAATCAACGATATACAATTAAAACCATTAAGAAACATAGTATACCAATACTGACACAACAATAACAACACAATACATCTCATAACTAAAGTCGTGATCCAATTCGTCGTCCATATTTCATTCCTGTAGTCATCACATTCATTGCACTGTTTCTCCGAATGCCCGTTCGAACATCCAAGTTTTTAATCTTCGAAACACCATTAGCGAGGGGGCTGACCTAACATACATGGGAAGGGCGTTCCACAGCCGAGGGGCCACCACAGAAAAGGCCCTGTCTCTCGTCCCCGCCAGCCGCACCTGTGAAGCAGGCGGGATAGAGAGCAGGGCCTCCCCAGAAGATCTTAGGGTGCTGGCGGGCTGATAGGCCGAGATACGTTCGGATAGGTAAGTTGGGCCAGAACCGTTTAGGGCTTTAAAGGCCAACGCCAGCACTTTGAATTGGGCCCAGTAGCAAATCGGCAGCCAGTGGAGCTGGTGCAGCAGAGGAGTGTATGCTCCCTGCGCTCCGCTCCTGTTAGTATCATGGCTGCCGAGCGTTGGACTAGTTGAAGCTTCCGAGCCGTCTTCAAAGGCAACCCCACGTAGAGAGCGTTGCAGTAGTCTAAACGGGATGTAACCAGAGCGTGGACTACCGTGGCCAAGTCAGACTTCCCAAGGTACGGGCGCAGTTGGCGCACGAGTTTTAACTGTGCGAATGCTCCCCTGGTCACCGCCGAAACCTGGGGTTCCAGGCTCAGCGATGAGTCCAGGATCACACCCAAGCTGAACCTGCGTCTTCAGGGGGAGTGCGACCCCATCCAACACAGGCTGTAACCCTATACCCTGTTCGGCCTTACGACTAACCAGGAGTATCTCTGTCTTGTCTGGATTCAATTTCAATTTGTTCGCCCTCATCCAGACTGTCACAGTGGCCAAGCACCGGTTCAGGACCTCGAAGAGGTGAATCATTTGATTAACCTCATAAGTCATTTATTTTAGGTTTAGTGTCAAAGGCTTTCATGGCCAGAATCACTGGGTTGTTGAAGGTTTTTTTCGGGCTAGATGGCCATGTTCTAGTGGCATTCCCTCCTGGCGTTTCGCCTCCATCTATAGCAAGCATCCTCAGAGGTTGTGTGTTTAGGTTTGTTTCCTTTATTTTTATTCCACCTTTCTCCTTATATACTGTACTGCAGTTTAACTTTCTTCTTTTTTGGCTGAATTGCAATGCTAAAATTATGGGGCATACTAGATTCGATAGTTAATTAGAAGTGTGCCTTAGGGCCTTCCACACAGCCCTATATCCCAGAATATCAAGGTAGAAAATCCCACTTTAACTGAGTGTGAACTCAGATAACTCAGTTCAAAGCTGATGTGGGATTTTCTTCTTTGATATTTTGGGATATAGGGCTGTGTAGAAGAGCCCAGTGTTGTCGAGCAAAAGATCACAGCTAAGGATGGAGGAGAGAGAGGCAGTGGTGAACATGAAAAAGCTGGTGGGAAGGGTTGACGGAGGAGTGCAGCTTCCCATCAGACTTTTTGCACCCATCAGCGGCTTTTTATCGGGACATTGTGGAGGAGCAGATGCCGGCGGTGGCCATGAAAAGGCTATTGGGAAGGGCGGTTTCAAAGGCA